TTTCGTCGTACATGTGTTTCGCGCTTTAGACACACTTATTCGGTGAGGACACGACGGGGCTAAGCGCGTCACGCGAGGAATCAAATAGTGTTCGTTCGACGGGCATCCGAAAGGCTGCATCATTCCGCGGCCACCGTGCCCGCGACTGACAGTGTCGCCGGTGGCCAAAAGGCGAAACTGTGTGAGAGCGCAAAACATTATCTCGTTGCCATGACACCCCCGGTACACCGTGGTCTTTCTTTCTGCACGTGCGACAACCTCGCTGGAGCTCTGCGCGTGTGGAGCATGAGGCGGCACGAGCCGTCTTGCGCAATGCTGCCTGCCTTCTGCGTCTTACACCGTGCCCATCGTGCCCACGGGTCGACGAATCATCTGCCGGCGCCGCTTGAAACCATAGTGAGAGAGAGAGAGAGTGAAAGGCGAACTTTGTCGGCACGTCGCGAGGAGCGCGCTGTCCTCACCTGAAGAGTAGTATCTTATTTAGGGGTTAAAAGCGCTAAAAACGACGGACGAGTAGGAGAGACACACACCACAGAGCGCTACTTGCAACTGGTCTATTGGAAAAACCACACGTACCGCGAGACCAACAAGACACACATCCGATTCAGTTCCAACCGTCGCTAATCACATTTCTTACTCTTACACCATGCATGATCGTAAAAACGATAACTCTGATTCAAACAGGGTTATCGATGGGGCACTTACACACGTGCCCTCGTCACACTCGGAAATAAAAAACGCTTCCGTTATCTCCCTTGTCTTTCTATTTTTGTTTCGTGCCAAGATGACGGTGTTGTCGAAATAGGGTAAACACTCACACCTACTGCAATGCACTGCGAGATTGCCAGAGGGGGCTGACCTCAATGACAGGGCATGTTCCCTCAGTCTTTCGTTCACGTATCGCCCTGACTGCCCCACATATACCCTCCCACAAGACGGAGGAATTCTGTACACTACCCCCACTCTGCATCCTACATATTTTGTTGCGTGCTTTTTCTGACAAATATCCAACCGTGTGTCACCCCGTTCCACCCTCCCACATAGCTTGCTTAATTTCCGTGGAGCTGAAAGGAGAACCGAAATGCCATGCTTTTCCCCTACCTTTTTGATGTTATGGCTAACGTTATGTATATACGGTATCACCACTGGTCTTTTTTCTGGCTTGCCCCTCTCTTCCCTCTTCCCTCCTCCACGAAAATTTTTTTGCGGTATCATTTGACGTTGAAAACCTGTTTTATTCTATACCACATGACGGTCTTTTTGTAGCTATTCGTGAAGCCATTGAGGTGTTTGGAGAGGTCAAGTTCCAAAATCAATGTGGGGTTGCCGCGGAAGGTTTTCTAGAGTTCCTGGGCTTTTATTTGGAATCCACATATATTGTTTTTAAAGACGTACAGCTCGTGCAGAAGCAAGGTGTGTGTATTGTTGCGAGTGTGGCTCCAGTGTTAAGTGATTTGTACTTAGCAAAGTGTGATAGGGACATTAAGAATAGATTGGAGGCAGGAGTCGTCCATGTTTTCAGATTTGTGGACGACTACCTTGTTCTGTTCCGGAAAAAAGGGGAGTCAGAAAGGGCGGTGTTTGTGTCAGACATGTTGGAGATTTTCAGAACTAGCGCCTCGGGCTTGAATTTCACAAGTGAGAACCCGGTGGAGGGTGGTTTGCAGTTTTTGGATCTGAAGTTGGCCCTTCTCCCGTCGCATGTATGTTGGACTTACTGTCCTAGGGCGAAAAAAGGTGTTTTGCCCTATGACTCGAACCACTCCAAGATTATCAAGAGGGGGATCGCCACAACCTGCCTGAACGCGGCCTTAACGAAGTCCTGTCAGCACAGCGTAGCCGAAAGCTTCGGGTTACAAGTGAGGAGGCTAGAGGAGGGAGGCTTTCCCTGTGAGATTATTAAGGGGGTGGTAGAGGGCTTGCTAAAAAATTTTAGTCTATTCTTAAAAATAGCCGCCCCCCCCCCCCCCCCCGTTTTTTTTTTTTTTCAGCGTCTCTAATTCCATGTCGTTCTGCAGCGACAATTTCCGTTCTAGAATATACTGGGATTACCAATGTAAATAATTTAAATAAATATAAATTAGTTGCGGCGGGAAATCTAGCCGGTTTCGGACGTCGAAACGTGATTTTACACTACACATAAAAAAAAAAAAAATCAACGCCAGCCAAGGCGTCACGTGTAGTGCGAGGCCCATTCCAGTGAGCGTGTAGTAACCAGAATGAGGGCGTCACAGTTAGTTCAAAGCTTGAGCGCAGGAGGCCCGTAGCCTGGAAATAAAGGCACAATTGAAACAATTAAAGAAAAGGTGACACTAATCAAGGAAAATTTTATTCGGATGCCAAAGTGACATCCCTTGCCGATTAAGATGGATTCCATAGTGCCTCCTCGTTGCGCTCCTTGTCCAAAAGGCGCAAAAAAAAAAAAGAAAAAAAAAAACACAACACCACACCACACCACGCCACGCCACGCCACGCCACGCCCAGGTCGCTTCCTGGCGCAAATGAAGCCACCGGAAGTTCGATGCTTGTCCGGAAGTCGGGCATCCTGAAGTAACTTTTCATTTAACTTCACATCTACGACGGACGTAAAAGAAGTTGAAACGAGAGCCGACGATGATGATGTCTCCCGTATGCCATGGACGAAGAAGTCGGCAGAACGAGCGCTACGGATGAAGAGAAGGAAGAAGCAAGCGTTGGATTGCTGGTATACTCCGTTTCACCTTATGTTGTACCGCAGAGAAGGCTAAAAGCGCGAGCTCATAGCGTTGGGAGCTGCCCTTGGTGCACGAGAGCTTGTGCCGCCGAGATGTGCCCTGGAGCAAGGAGCGCTTGTAGCCTTTCCTGCGGTACATCATAAGGTGAAACAGTGAAACAGAGTATAGCTAGTCGGGTGTTCCCAGGCCGCACTGATGATGTCTCCTGTACAGGAGACGAAACGTCTGATAAATTGTTGGTATTGTTATGCAAGTCGGAGGTATTTGTTTTTAATCATGAATCCCGGCTTTTGGAACATTTTTGCTTGAAATCAATGATATAACACTATAGTATAACCATAGCCTCCTCTACAGTGACAAAGCCTGGCAGATCGCAACGAGACGCGGACGCCGAAAGTGAAAAGATAAAGCGGCAGACAAGAGGCATGTAACGGACGCCCCGCTGCGGCGTGACGCCGAAACACACTTGTCCCGAAAGATGGAATGTCCACTCGTGCTTCTCGCGTTCCTCGGGCTACCGCTTCTTTTCTCGTCGGGTTTGAAAACGATGCTTCGGGTTCTGGACGCTGCAAAAGCTGTGCGCTGACTAGGCTTCCCGAGAAGTGCTCCGCACTACCAGATCTTCGCGCTCCAAATCTGCGACCGGGCCAGGGTGTAAGATAGACAGGTGGGGAAACGAGAGCCAAATGAGCGACCGGATTGTGTCCCCCTCGGTTTTCTTTTTCTGTGGCGCCATCTATGTGGAGCACCGCGAACTTTCACTCCGGGTGGGCGAACGCTGGCGACCGGTTAAACTGACGGAGAAGGTTTCTCGTGGATTTTCAATGGAGGACTGTCGTGCTCTCAGTTTATTTTGCGCACTCTCCCATAAAGTCCCATGCAAATTCAATTCCAATTTTTTTTCTTCTCGCCGCAGCGCCATCTGTCGCAAATCGGGGGTACCCGCAAGCCACCCGCAAGCAGACGAGTACACAATCGGGTCACGGCACTGCGGTAGGTTTCTATGGGCCGTTTCCCCACCTGTCTATCTTACACCCTGGACCGGGCACTCAATGGCTCCGTCATCGAACCGCCAAGCTTTGTGAATATAGAGGGGGCTATGGTATAACCAAGTTGTTCCTGCAGTACCCTGGGGTCGAAGGAAGGCATTACACTGGTTATCTCTGGTTTTGGCGGGAACAGCTAGGGTCTGTAAACGATAAATTTACAGACCTGCGGCACCCATCAAAGGAAAATTTATTTGGATGCCTAACGAATACCAACGATTAAAGCTGATTATATTGTTCTTTCGCACACCTTTTCAGATGGCGCTAGTTTAGCGCCTTGCTATACTGGCACAAGGCAAGGGAAACGGACTTCTCTGGAAGTCAGTTTCGCTTTGTTACGGACCGTGGAAAAATTGTATTTCGAAAACGATCGTTAAGGCTACTTAAGTTTTTTTAAATGATTTCGGCCTCATGCAGTTTTGTGGTAAGAGAAAACGTATTTGCAGGGGAAAGTGTGATCTTTGGGCAGCTGATACTGCGCTGACGGAAAGATACTATCAATAGCGAGTTTTAGTATCGCCTATACGAGCAAACGCAAGCACTGTCCATTTGCGTTGGCGTTGCGTGTTCCAGATTGCACGCGTGAGGGAGCCCAAGCTGCTTCTTGGATTGGAGCGTGGCGACGGCGCGCATGTGCAGCTTGGAGCACGCAACGCTAAAGCAAACGCACAGTGCTTGCGTTTGCTCTTATACGCAATGCGAAAACTTCATATTTTGGTGAATAAAACAATGTAATGTGACAAAGTTCTCCAACGGATACTTCCTCGCGTCAGCCTAAATCTGGTACAGGCTTACTTGGGAAACGATGTCACGACGAGACAATGGCAGCGTCCGATAGTTATTCGCAGGATGTACTGACAGAGCGCGTACTGAGCAGGTTTGCTACGCGCATCGCTCCAACGCCGCAGCATCAGCCGTTGCTCCAGCGCTGAATCGCTCTGGCTGAAACGAAGTTGAATTCGCGAGGCAGGAGACACTTATGGCCGGCCTTCTGCTGGGTTTTTGTATTTTTTCTGATGCTTGCGTCGAAGGAAATTTTGAAAGAACAACACTATTCCTATGGCATCAAGGAGCTAGCCGTTCTTGGCTGGCTGTCAACCGGATGTTGTTCACAACATAAGCTTACCTTTGTTTGTGCTCAAGCAACTGGCACCAAGCAAGTGGCTTTAGAACTCAATAAAAAAATATAACTCCTGTAACTGTTTAGTTACAGGGAAGGAAACACAAACGACAAAAAAGTAAAAGAAAATCTAATTTTCTTGTTCATAACTTTAGATTCAAAAATGCACATACCGAAAGTCTGCACATTGAGCAGCTGCTCAGCGCGCTCACATTTAACAAAAAAACTCTCGCGAATATACGTCCTCATGGTATCACAGCAATGAGCATTGCACTCTCAGATCCGACACAATGTGTTCGACTGCCGTTGTTGCTTCTTTCTTGTTCTTGACGTTTGTTCGCTCAAAGTGCTCACAGGGAGTGAAGCAAGTCGCGATGATTGAGATACTGCCACCAATACTTTGCTAGCATGCCAACAAGGCGGCGCTGGGGAATTACGTAGACGTGTTTCGAAGGAATGTTCCTTCAGGTAATAAAATACTGTTAAACTAAAAGAAAAAAAAATATCAAGAATTAAAAAATAAGTGCCTCTAGCTTGTCCGTAATAAAAAAAAAGACTTTAACAAAGGAAAAAAAAAAGAAAAAAAGATGAACTTGAATTGCTGTTTCACAGAGCTGGTGGTAGTTCATTTCTTTGTTTTTGTTTCTTGCGTAATTTACATCTTGCTAGAATCGCCGACGCGTTCACCGAGGGGCTTGCCAGGGACGTAGCTGTACTCGTAGGTGTCCTAGGAGAGAAAAAAAAGAATCGCATAATTAAAACCTAGTTAACAACACTACCCCCGGATCGCAATTTATTGGGACTAGTTTACTTTTCGTTCCACCTACATTACTATCTCCATCTGCTTAAGGCAGTAACCACCATCCTACCATTTGAACATCGGGAGATTGATAGTAATAAAAAGGACAAAAGGGGTTTTACATTCTAACTTCGCTCGGAACGAAGAAGCCAGCCGGTGACTGTTTACCACGAAAGCGCCTTAGATTTAGCGACACAAGGATGTGCACAAGCACATCCTTGTCCGCTAAAACAAAACTTTAGTGTTTCCAGCCAATATGTACAGGCATCTATCGCAGCTTTAAAAAGGCCCCTGCCTCTGGACGCTTACCGTTCCGCCCATGCGCACTGGGAGGTCCTTGGGGTCGATGAAGTCCGTGATTTGGCTCTTGTTCACCATCTTCACCCTCTCGGCGGCTTCTGGCATCATCCAGCCGCGAATCACCTTCCAGGCAGCTGTAGAGGCAGTGAACAAGAAGGACCAACCAGGAATGAGACGGCGACAGGCGATGAATCACCAGTCACGAGCATCAGCTTTAAGCCTCTGTCACACTGCCGGTACTTCGTGCAAAAGACCGTCGTCAGACATTGTTTGAGGCGTGTTTATTTCTTGCGTGATGTCACACGCGGCATACAAAAACATGTTTCCAACATGGTTGAAGCGTGTAATTCACGTCATCATGTCTTCAGCGACCACAGTGTCTTTTGTACGAGATGTACAAGGTGAGGCCGTAAGAACGAGCACATTTGGCACGCCTTGCAAAGTCCGAATTCAAAACGTACGTATCTGAAATTCGACACGCGAATATAGTTTCACGAGACGTTTTAAGTCTATTTGTTTTTTAAGAGCTCAACTTAGAGATTGTGAAATATTAAACATAAAGTCAAAACGGTGGTCGTGCATTTCCTCCGTCCCATACCAGCTTGTTCGTCGTCTGCTTCCGTGGTTTGCGAGCTCGATCGCGGGTGGCTTGCTGAACGTAAAAACGCTGAGAATATTATATGAGGGGAAGGCGACGAGCGAGGTAATCGCGAACAAAATATATGAACGGTCACCACCTGGGAGCGCGCTCGCAAACGTACGTGCAGACGACAGACATCAAGTATAGGACATAGAAAGTGCACGCTCGCCGTTTTTGGACTATTTTTAATATATCACAACATCCAAGTTGAACTCTAAAACAAGAACAAAAAAGAAAAAAAAAAAAAAACAAACAGACATCAATTTTTTTTTTTGCGAAACGACGTTCTCGTGCCCAGTTTCAGGTAAGAACGGTTAGAATTCGATTTTAGCGAGGCGTACCAAACGCACCGGTCCTTACGGCCTCACGTTGTAGGGGCAGTGTGACAGCGTTTTTGGTGTAAGCCTCGCTGATTATATACTCCGTTTCATCTTACAAACGATCGGCGCCATAAAGCTAGTTGCGACACAATCACAAACTCACAAACTGAAAACTCAATGCCACGACGTATTCTTCGCGCTTCATTGGATTGGTCGGCTGTAACACGCTTAGGCAGAAAATGTCATGATCTAGCGTTTGCCGAAAACCTCGAACTTACGGAGAAACGAAGTATAGAGCAAATTCATGAAACCGGTGTAATTGTTTATTGTAAATTAGTCTACACCGAATTGTTCTAGCTGAAATTAAAAAAAAAGACAACGTGTATTTGACAGTTAATCCTTGTTAGCAAACGACAGTCGCGTTGACCTTTTTAAACCGGCGTCGAATCGACACTGATCAGAAAAGATGGTAATCTTTAGAGTAGTCACTAATTAATCCGCCATCAAAAACGTCATTAGTTGAAGAACAAACAAAAATAAATCTCCCGCACTGAGTTCGGCCTCGCCTGCAGGGAGGGTGCGAGCGTCGTCATGGACTTTAGTTGTCCCGAAGACTGGCGGCCTGTCATAAAACCTTCAACTCGTGTCGTTGCCCCGTTCGCTACTCGCCTTGACACCGAAACGGACGGAATCGCGGAAAGTCCAGGAGAGCCGCGGGAGCTCACGCAATGCGCGTGATAAAAGAATGAAAGAGGGCGAGGGACCTGACGGAGTGATCGGGGAAAGGACTCACCATTAAACAACCAGGGCATGTCGTACACGATGACGTAGCCTGAAACGGAAAAAAGAGATCGTTGCAGCTACGGTTCCGAGACCTTGACCAGGGGGACGGGAGCGTGGAGCTCGCTCGCCGGCCGCCCTCAATTGCCGTTTGTAATTGTCCTCTCTCGAAAGGTACAGCAGGAAACTACAGGGCGCTCAGAAGCGTTTCCTTTTGATCCTCGTTTGGATTTTTTTTTTATGCATTGCATTGCTCTGGGTGGCTAGCTAGCACCGAGACGATCAAGCAAAGGGGGTGCCGCATATCTTAGCCCTGCGAGCCACCCAGAATACCTCTACTTTCACTAATAAAGATCAGTATTATTATTATTACCATAATCATCTTCATTATTATTCTTTTCTGCATAGATGTGTATAATGTATTTTTATCCACCAGTGTACCAGCACCAATACCTCAGGGTTGTTCCTGGACGCTACAATAAAGACCGATTTTTATTATTGTAATTGTTATTGCTATTGCTATTGTTATTGTTATGGTTAGTGTTATTATTGTTATTGTTATGGTTAGTGTTATTATTATTATTGTTATTGTTATGGTTAGTGTTAGTGTTAGTGTTATTATTATTATTATTATTATTAGGGTAAAATGCAGCAGCATCGGACGCTTACCAAGTCCCATTGGATACCGCTTGAGGAAGACGTTGAAGATGAACTTGGTGAAATCAATATCCTGTGTATAAAAAAAAGTTAAAAATTAAATAATAGAGGATAATTTCTTGGAGGCTTCACCTACACCTCCTACAACGCAAGGTCGTAGTGCTGGATTTGTTATGCATAGCTTCACTAGAGCGACAAGCGGACACAAACGACAACGACAGGCCTAAACATAGCCTCCTCTATACTACCAAAGCCTGGCAGTTCGACGACGGAGCCGTCGAAAAAGGGGAAACTTTCCCCTTCGACGACGGAGCCGTCGAAGGGGAAACTGGACGTCGGCGCACAACTTTTGCAGCGGCGAGGATCCGAAACATGGTTTTCAAACCCGAGGAGAAGAGAAGCGGCATCGCGAGGAACGCGAGGAGCACGAGCGGACATTCCATCGCTCGGGAGAAGGGTGTTTCGGCGTCTCGCCGCAGCGGGGCGCCCGTCACCTGGCTCTCCTCTCATCCGCTGTCTTCCACTCTCCACCTTTACAATATCGGTGGTGGCGATCTGCCAGGCTTTGTCAGTATAGAGGAGGCTATGGCCTAAAGCACGTGCAGCATACATGCGAAAGTATACTTTAAGGAGTTCGCAATAATCACGTGTACTTAGTTCACCAGCATCTGGAGACTGAAAGCTTACCAAAGGTGAATTCGAGTGTACGCTGCACGTTCTTGAGGCTTGTCGGTGTCGGTTGTTTTTGTTTGGCGCTCTGGGACTCGGGTATTGATCGACGGCAATATAGTTGTGGAAATTTACAAACTGCGGTGGCGGTTGAATATTACCCGGTTTATTATGAAATAGCATTTCTGAGCGAACCTTGCGCGCTTTTGCGTCTGTGGCTCGGCTCGGTTCCTACTTTCGCCCTTCCCCTTCTAAGTGAATTTCCTTCCCCTCTGCAATTTCGTAACTATCACCGGGGGGTGTAAGAAATGACCAGGATAACCTTTAAAAAGTTAGGCAAAAAAAAAAAAAAAAAAAGCACTTGTCCGTATCCCCAGTCTCGGGTTACAACTATGCTCAATAAAAACATTGTTTCTTGCTTTTTTTTCCCCCGGCGAGGGAGCCGCCCATTTTCCTCTGGTGAAACCTAAAGCCTAGTCAGCGTTACGGTAGCACCGGGCCCACCGGGAGACAGGGTTGAGACGCTGGGCCGGAGCCACGCGGGAGGGAGTCCCAATTTTCCTCTGCCCCGCCTGTCCCCAGCTGTGCTAGTTAGTTGTACATCATTTAATTTTTCCTAGATAATTTCCACCAGTCTTCCAGTCTCCTCTTTGTTATTAAAATGCATTTATCATATCCATTTTTCCATTTTCATCTGCAAACCACAGCGCGCCGGCTAAATCCGTCGCACCCTCCGGTAAGGGCGGGAGCTAGCCCTGGGCACGTCAACACCACATGTTCTATTGTCTCGCCTTCCCCTTGGCATATCCATTTCCTCACACTTTGTCCTATATGCCCTAGTCTTCAATACTCCTGGTCTAGCCTCGAATAACAACGAGCTTCCCCCGTGAATTGTCGTATACCAATGATCCTTCCTCATTTCCTGTTTTCGTCCCCCTGATTTTCCCTGCATTCTTTCCTCTCACATTTTTCTATCGGCTTTTTTTACCTCCTTTTCCACAGAGGTCGTCTGCTCTGAAACCAAGACTTGACTGTTGGTATTTGAATTTCCGTTTCCGGGCTCGGTTTGTCCATTTAGTGTTGGGGCACTTCATGTATAGACGCTCCTTTTAACCATCGTGCACCCTCAATTGCGTCTAGCCTTTGTTCAAATTTGAACTCGCTGATCGCCTGAACAGCAAATATAGTTACACAGGTTTTATTGTGTTTGTATGCATATAATGTTTATGTCCCAATTGTGCAAGAAACATTTGAATCGCCGTAATGCTACTGTAAAATTCTTGGGTTGGCCGGGGGAGGTCCGTCCGCCGGAAGTAGACAGACAGATTAGAACACTATATAAATAGCTTTTAAATGCGCCAGACTTCGTGGACGTCGACGAAACATATTCCTAGAATTTCCACAGCATCACAGCAATTCAGTAAAGAAACGCAAGCGGTACAAGGCGGTGCAAAATTCTATCGCATTTCAACAACACCCTGCGCAGCGATTGCGGCAACAATTTTTGCGGAAACGGTGGGTATCGAGTGGTTGTAAAATCTCGGGCACCAGCAAGTTTATTTACTGTTCCAGCTACGGTTAATCGCCAAAAATTATAAACACGAGTTCGGTGCAGCACCTACTACGGCTATGTTTACAATAGGAAAAAAAAAGGTTTTTCTTGAATTGTTTTTTATTCTGATTATGGTCGCAGCGTCAGTACCTGTAGTTTGAACTTAGTCAACAAAGTATTCGTACATGCGATACCGCCTACATGTCCTTTCAATTCCTCGTGTGTTGTTTCCTCGTGTCTTGGGCGTAAACCGTATCTTGTGATCAACGCCACTAACGACAGGGGGCGTACCGTTTGGGATTCGCGTCCTCCGTGAGCAAACAACAAAAATCAGGAAATATTTAAAAAAAAAAAAAAAAAAAACGGGCAAAACAATTTGTTTGTTTTTATTGGTGCCGAGCAAAGGTCACTTCCTCCACCGCTCGCATAACGACTTAATTACGCCATTGACGCGGCTCGATGTTCGTTGGCACTACGAGAATCTGCTATTACTATTATTTCTGTTTAGTTCGTGTTGTCCGTGAAACGGGAACACAAGTCTGGGTTTTACCTGTTACGCAGTAGGCGACGAGGATTACCCAAAACATTAGATCGAGTTCACCCCTGTTTGCTGTTACAGCTTACTGCGAGTGGCGAGCCTTTTGACTAAAAGTTACCTATGCCCCAAATGTGTATGCTCCAGCAAACTATAGGGACAAAACCAGAAAGAAGGGAGGAGATGAGATCTCCGATTGAAAGGAGAGTGGGTAGACGCTAGCTGACCTTGTCTATTCACTTTTCGAACGCGTTCACGAACGGCAAAGGCGGTTAATGGAAAAGGAAGTCGATACACTGGCTCCGCCAGTTAGTTACATTCTCGTGCGACTGCAACGCAGTTCAACGCATTCAAACGCAAATGTACGAACCAGCCCGAAGGATTCTAAGGACTCCTACTCACGAGATTACTGAGACCCGCGTCGGCGCAGTCCAGCAACATGGTAACCTTCTTGGCCCCGTGGTCGTTGTAGAGCTTCTCCAAGAAGTAGAGGAAGACCTGCTTGACCTGGATCGCGTCCGCCATGTTCTTGGTGTAGTTCTTGTTCTGAAGGACCACTGCGTTCGGCAGAAACAGAAAACGGGCTGACACGCGGGGCTTTGGCGCGGCCCAAGAATCTTATTATTACTTCTCAGTCAAGCAGATTGCGCCATTGAACTGATAAGAACGGAACGACCGAATCATAAAGCTAAAAACGTGAACGTAATACGTCACTTCCTGCGTTTCTTGAATGACCAGTGATTGCGGTTGCTCCCTGTAGTCTGTTATCGATATTCCAAGGGTATAGAAGCTGCGATAAGGACTGAAACTACACTATGTTTCAACTTAGCTTGGAACACAGAGGTTACAGACGCGAGGTCATAAAGTTTCAGAAGGCGCTGCCCCATCGTCGTATATAGCTCGTGCAACGAAAGCAGCTTCCAAAGGCAGATGCTCGTTCTTCAATCAATCAATCAATCATCAATGTTTATTCACGTAAAGATGTACAAAGAAATGTCTGATTAGTCATCTGGATCCATAGCCTACATGGCTAGTAATGGATCCATTAAAAAAACATTCACATTTAAAACAATCCTATAGGCATTTCGAGCGTGCGGTTTCAGTGGTTTCATTTTATACGGAAATAAGATGGTGGCATCGTTCCATAGCCCATAAAATTGATTAACAAGGATGCACGTTCGCGCTATGCACCGCTCTAATGTTTACGAGTCTACAGCCCGCCACACCATAGCCTTTTCTATACTGACAAAGCCTGGCAGATCGCCACGAGAAACGGCCGCCGAAATGGAAAAGGTGGAGCGGCAGGCAGCGGATGAGAGGAGAGCCACGTGACTGGCGCCCCGCTGCGGCGAGACGCCAAAACACATTTCTCCCGAGCGAACAAGCGTGTTTCGGGTCCTCGTCGCTTCAAAGCTGTGTGCTGACGTACAGGTTCTCCGAGAAACGGCTCCTTCATGCTCTGTGCTACGAAATCCTCACGCTCTAAATCTGCGACCGGGCACTATATGGTTCCGTCGTCGAATTGCTAGGCTTTGTTAGTGTAGAGGAGGCTATGGCCACACGCGTGTTCGTCGCCCTGGAAGGCGACCAAAGCACGCGCCGTATAGACCATTACAGAAACGGGCTTCTGACCTGAGAAACTTTATGCGTTCGTGCCTATGGCGCGTGGTTTGCTCGCTTGTCGAAGCTTCGGAACGCGTATGCTGGGCTGTGATTTGGTAAACATTGGAATGGTGCGCGCACACGACCGGTGAGAATGGAACCAGCCAAAAACACTTCACTGAAACAGTCTATTAAATCTGTATGGCATCGGTGGTCAGGAGCCGACAGCCACTTTTCCACGCATCACTGACTAAGTTACGAGTGCGTGAACGTATCTCCGACCACTGTTTTTGTTTGGGGAGCACTTGCGAGGCTCTAAAACACATCTGTCATGCAGATCTTGGTACGATTTCTTAATCACGTAAAGATAATTTTATGTTCGATATAAACAAGTAGGTTTTTTGTTCATTTTTTGCGCACTAACAAAACAAGTCTTTATTTACCAGACAAGATAACTGTTCACTTCACATTTCCAACTCCAGTAGTCACTTTGAAAGCGCCTGAAGAGAACTTTCGGCAGGAATCTTAATATTGCATGATGTCGATATCGCGTGTCTTGACGAAGCAGTTCAGACAAAACATTAAGCACTCGGAAACTACTCACGCAGCAGCCTTTGTCCAGTAACTCTGGCGAAGTGCATCGTTTCGCAAAACACTCGAGACATTTTGAAAAATGTTCCCAACAATCCTTTCCGTAGAGAATGCATTGCGCGCTGATAGGTATCCCGTAAAATCAGATAATTCGAGTGAAAAAAAAAAAACGTACAGAGTAATTTGTTTAGTTTTACAATAATGGTGCACTCACGGACATAGCACCCCAGTTTGTCTTTGTTGTAGGGGTAGATGGCCTTCTGCTCGAAAAATGCCTTTGGAATGCCTTCCTCCTTAATTTCTGCAAAGGGGAGAGAGAAAACAAAAACACTGCGTTACTTCATACTCTCAAAACGGATGGATAGAATCGAAGAATGTGAGAAGGTACTTTAAATTAAAGTGGGCAACTTAACCAGTGTTTAGCGGGTTAAGTTTGTAACGGTTTGTAACGGACTAGGAAAAAGACTACCGACCGCCATCAAAATCAGTATTACTTGATTTTGAATATTTTTTTCTCAGATTAAGTTATTAATGACCTGTACCAAACATAGCCTGCGCCCGAAAAAGATCCACTAATGCAATAAAAAAGAGGGTTCAGTATGTAATACACAGCGGCAAAAAAGTTCAAAACTTCGAAAAAAAAAAAAAAAGAAACGGGCACATTTGGTCTTGCTTTTAATACTTTACCAAATTCTCTCGCCTGCATAATGTCTCTTCATATTCAATAAAGAACCCTCCAAATGCGCCCCAAGGAGGTTTTTAAAGTCGCTATAAATATATTGATAACTGCCTCTGCCGGCTCTAAGCATCCCATAAATGCCTCAATCAGGACGGTACGCGGCCGATTTCAATATTAAAAGAGCAACCAACGATTGCAACACACCGAGGTCATCTCTGGCAGTGGGAGGAGCATGTTGCGAAACGAGGAATACTATCGGCCAATAGCGAGCGAAGGATCTTCGCGCTTCTGACCGGTGGAACTGCGGAGTGATATCTCGAATGCGTGCGGTTCGTTGCCCATACAGCCCGGATTGCGCGCTTGAGAGCTGACAACCGGACACATATCACACGCGCGGAAAAAGAAAAATGAACAACAGTGTGTTGTTTTTGAGACGATTATTAGAGTATTATGTTCCCTCTCCGCGGAATTTTTTTTTTTTACTGTTCTTGTTTTTATTTACAAAAGCATACACATTTTGTTATAACAGCGTTTGCAATCTCAACGAAGTGTCGCGTTTTCATTGGTCACGTGTCGTCGATGACCTCGGTGTGTTCGATCTTTGATTGCTTTTTTTAAGAGGCAAATCGGCTGCGAATCGTCATGATTTAGGGATTTTTAGGATGCTTAGAGCCAGCGGAGTGAGTTATCGGCTTATTTAGGCGATCTCAGAAACCTCTTCAGGACACCGTGAAACAATCTTTGTTCTGATACGATTGCGCTGGCTGCATAGTCGGCAACTGGAAGGTATCACCGACTGAAAAAAAATTAACCAATATTCACGAAGTATCGGTTGACTAAAGCGTGAAACACGTGAGCTAAAGCCGCGTTTTGCAGAACCCAGGGCTCGAGCCCCACCCCTGGCCGTTTCAATCTGGATGAGCATCGCACCGGCATGCGGTCGTGTATCACTACTACGTGGTGCACGTTAAAGACCCCAGGCTAGCGGTTGTACTGTGGCTAAATTTCTCATCTACAGCGAGGAGTGACTCGTCGCAACTTTGAAACAGCTGACCAACTACACGCTGTATAAATATCCACAAAACCCCAATTATTAAAGCCGCTTCGTATCGCGCCGCGTCGTGACGCATTTTTTTACTTACACGTGTTTCGCGCCTAACGCAAAAATAAACGAGGGTCTTGGTTGTCGTCAGAAAGGATGCTTCTTTTGCAGATTCTGCTGCTTGTCTTTGAAAGCCGTTCCTAAGGGCCCATTCACACAGTTGCGACAGTCTGCGTTGCGTAAAGCAAAGTGTAATTTAAAAAAAATACTGGAAAATTACACACAATGTTTCAACTTCATATTATTTCATTGCATCGGGTTTTCTAGTCTCTGGTTTATTATGAAGTTAGTTCACCAGCTTGCCTGTCTGTGTGTTTTTACAGCGGAGTTGTTAAGGGCTAGGTTCGCCAGGATCGTGTCCGTATATGTCGACACAAACCTACCTGGGCAGCTACCGCCATCTATAAGCGACGGCGGCAAGCACACAACCAGTATGCTTGCCTCCGTCGCTCATAGATGGCGGCAACCTTTCCAGCTATCTAGGGTGCCTACATGTCTGTCTGTCTCAGGGTGAAGACATCCATTGTTGCCCTGAATGTGCCAGCGCGTGACGCTCTCGCGCACTTGGTGCGTGACTTGGGCGGTAAAATGGCGTCTATGCATTAGCCAAAGCTACGCGCTCGTGCTGAGTGACACCGGATTGCGCGCACTTCAAAATTCATAGAAAGAACGATTGGGCGGAAAAATGGCCGAGATGTCACCACTCAAGCAAAAGCGCGCGTGTGTATGAAGGCACTCTACAGCTATCGTAGAAGAATGGATAGTTGGGCGCGTTGGTGGGAATTCATCGTAGGAAACAGCGCGAAAAACAGACGACGACGAAGAAGAATCACACAGTGTATCGAGTACAGCTCCGCTGGTCTTCCTTCTTTTTCCTTGTTTTTATGCGTTAATGGGAACATTAAAGTGTTTCGAGGCAAAATTAAACAAAAAAACTGGCAATTAAGCCTACGCAATTAAATGATCAGGCTTGAACTTATATGTTACAAACTAAGCTTGATTATAAGTCAGTAACAGTTAAGTCAAATCGATGGAAAACCCTTAAAGAAAATCGGCAATCACGTATTCGAGCAAACCTTACTGGGCTCAGAATGTCGGTACGGCTGGCCCCGACTTTTGCTCGGACATTCTCGTCGCAAGTCAATAAATGGGATTCACGGCACGGCGCGCTGCTATACAATTCCCACGTCCGCGGTCTAGAGACGAGCCACAGTTTTCCTGGTATTACGCCTCAAGGATATCCGCCTTTTGTGCGTTTGCCAACAAAAGAAAAAAAACAAACCTAGATACCGATGAAAACACTTCTATTGAACACAGAACAGCCGTACGATCGTCCGTCCTTGATAGCCATACGTACTCGACGATTCGGATAAGATAAGCATCTAGCCCTTCTAGACTAGCCGTGTCACAATATTTGCAATTTATTTTAGTAAGCGAAGTTAATCGGGATGCTAAACTTTCATTTCCAAGAACATACCTTTTACCTGCGAGTAGAAGACTAAAGGTTCTTAGTCTCAGTTAAAAAAAATAATGTTGGGATCTAGTGATGCATATATTATAAAATAGAATACATTTCACTTTATATTTCATTTTCATTTTATAGTGATAATACCTTTTGGACGTGTATATAGAGACCACTTGTAAAGGAGGGACTCGTGGCTGCAGGCTTTGTCGAACATTAATGTTTAGTGTGTGAAATCTGCGAGCACACTGACCCAGATTGTTTGTACACCCTTTTATATACTTCTACGAAAATACGTTCAACACTTCTTTTAGGGCCTCGCTGTTTCAGTTACATTATCTGTCAGCTCCTTGGCGGTCTTTGTTTTCACTTGACATGTGTCAGGTGTCTCAACTCTGAGCCTAGGGCGAACGTGGTGAGGGTGGTGCACTAAGAAAATTAATCAGCAACACTGCGAGATGGATCCGCTTCCGAAAACCTAACGTATATTGTACTCATCCGTTAACTGTCTGCGAGTTCTCCGTAATTAAATAATAGTCCCCCCTTTTTATTCTTTTATATATTTTTTATTATGCTGCGCTACAAAATTCGAACCTATAGGCAGACTTGTACGTAATCCGTTACAAGTAACGAAATTACTTGTAATCCCTTACATTTATGAGTAATTTTGTAACGGAATAATTACATATTTTCTAGAGTAATTTTAAAGTAATTCCTTTACATTTTTGACGTAACGGATTCCTTGTAATCCGCTACATTTTTTGTCAGAACCACCCCCCCCCCCCCCCCCTCTCCGCCCCCATTCTAAATAAAGTTTTTTATTTTTTTTTTATTTTTGTAATGTCGAGCGCAGTGACACTGTCACGCGAATCGACCAGCGCAAAGGGAGGCTTGGCACTCTTCAGTTCCGAAAAGCCTTTTTTTGCAACACCAAGCCCCTGAATCTGTCATTTTTTTAGACCCTAACATCAATGTCAAAAAACCAAATGAACAATTCACGAAATAAAAAAGAAAAAAAGGGGGGGGGGGGGGGGGCAAGTTACTTCCACTTTGTTTTTAGTCCCTCTGTTTTTTCTTTGCGATCGAAGACGGGGAGAGGAGGACACCAAGTGATTGTGCGCATCTTCGAGAAGCTCGAGGCGGTAAGTGCACTGAAAAGAATTAACAATGTCCTTCTCGGATATAGTGACCACGACCATTTTCATAATGTCACAAAAGGAAACCGCTCTGTCTACCCTACCCTTTTTGTGAGTCAGCTTTTTGCGAGCATTTAGAAAATGGTAATAGTCTTCCTTTCTTCTTCTTCCTGTTTTGTCCCAGCAGGGCGCATCTTATCCTAAGGAGATATTTTTACAAATAAAACATAATGGTGGCTGACATAGACTTGATATTCTGGGCTTGAGGAGAGAGTGAAATTCGTGAGTGGGGCCATAGCTCGGCTTACTTATATAGTACTCTACACTTTGCTGCCCGTGGCATCAGTGGACGTCTATCTGGAGAACACCGGAGCAAACTGCAGTCGGTTCGTGCTCCGTGCGTTTTTGATTGGCACCAAGAAAGGTACACACGACAAATGTGTGTTTACATTTCCTTGTTTTAAGCAACGTTCTAATTAATTGTTGTTATAAATGTCCTTTTTTTATTACTTATATTTATATACTAGAAACTTCTTTTTTTTTATTCACCAACGTTTCTACCGAGGCTCGACCTGTTGAGAGCCAAAGGAAGAAGAATATCGAGCCAAACCTTATTCAGTATTTGATTATCGCCTTACTGTTACAACTATGTTTTGCTATTGATGACTTCTACAGCTTCGCGATTTAGAGAATGAAGAATTTTGGTACATCGGTCCGATGACTCCGATAACGATATCCGATACCTCGCCGCCGTCTTTGCGTATGCATCATATCGTTATCGGGTACCGTTATCGCGGGTATCGGAAGGATCTGCTAAATTTCTCGAATAGCAGGCAACGGCTGCAACGACGAAGCTTTGCTCTACATTCGAGGTAAATAGTACTTCCTTTGCTTTGCTGAAAAAGCTCAGCTCAATGCAGAGCATGAAGCATTCGTGAGGAACAATATGGCACTCCCATCGAGTGCCTCAGCTCAAATGGTGTTCAGCTTAGCAGTCGACATATTGAGTAAGAGATAATGCAGAATGTCTGACGAGACATTCGAGAGTCAGCTGTTGCTCAAAATAGTCAAGGTCATTCAATAGAACAGGTTGCAACGATAGGAACTTGAATATCCCTCTTCCCTTTGTTTCTTACTTGAGGACAATAATGTTAAAAGTAACGCCACGAAAGTAACGGATTACTTTTGGGGGTAACGGTCAGTTACTTTCATGGGAGGGTAATTGTAATTGTAATAAATTACAATTTAGCCTTGAGTAATTGTAAATGTAATTCCTTACTATTTCTTAGTAACGTGTACAAGTCTGCCTATAGGCGTATTTTAATTTCCACGAAATGTAACACTCGCCACTTATTGTAACATTTTCCAATATATCCGGACCTAACCCATAAATTACCGTCAGACGTTGCAATGGTGCACTGCCACGCTAATAAAACCAGCAGACACCGCACCTCCGCAGTGTTTTTCGCGAAAATATTTGAAGTTTCCTTTCACTCACCGGCGATCTTAACGTATTTCCTCCACCGCAGCGAATAGGCGGCCACCTTGTGTGCCAGGGCCATGTCGCCGCGAACGTGGGCAATCATCTTCCGGCAGAAGTCATCGCTCTCTCGGATCTTCTTCACGTCGTCTTCGTAGTAGACGTCTGCCGGGAAGAACAAAATAAACGCGAGGTTAGGGCGACTAATCTAATTTCAGTGTCTGGCGGGTTTGCAAACAAGCTCTCAATGCCTAGGAGGCACATATGGTACCCGACTATTCGTGATTTCCTATCAACTTTCTTCAATAAGGCAAAGTTCGACACGTCACGGAGCGTTACGAATTTCCATTGTTAACTCGTACGTTGAGACATATATACACGTCTCAAAAATGTTACTTGCTAGTTCGTCAAAAGGTACACTTTTCAAGCACAAAATAAGCTTTTTTTGTTTTCCCCTGACAACCACACCTTGTAAGAACTACTTCGCGCAGTGTGTGAACTATATGCATAAAAAAGGAGACAGGGTAAAAACACAGACGAGGAGGTGAATAATTTCCACAAGACTTGACGTACATATAAAAGCGCTCGTGTTTAAAAAAAAAACTGAAAGCCTTGTTTAAGACTCCTTGCTTTGTCCGTTCTTTTTTTTTTTTTCGTTTCGTGTCTCCGGTTACGATGAAAGCCTAAGAATAGTTTTTTACTTGAGGTGACCACTATAGGAAAACTTGTGATTTGGCTAGTTGGTGTACACTAGAAAACCTGGTGTAAGGCGCAAAAAAATAAGAGAAAAAACGAACACAAGGAAGAAGACAGGCACACAGGCGCCTATGAATCTTCTTTGTGTCGGCTGTTCATTGCGCCTCACACCATGCTTCCTAAAGTGACCACTATAGTCGTTAACGAGATGAAAGCAGGTAGGCGCCTTCCAGCATGCGCTCGTTGACTTCCGTCGTGCTTTGGCCGCGTGTGTATGCTCGACGTTCACGAGATGCCGAAGTATCGTCGTACGGAGAAAGCTCGCGCAGGCGGCGTGACAACTAAAGGCCCTCCCTTTAAAGGACGGTTTTACGAACCACCCTGTACACCTTTAGCTGCCGCAAGCTGCCGAAGCTGCCGCAAGCTGCCGAAGCTGCCGCAAGCTGCCGCAAGCTGCCACCCGCACTCTGATTGCCGCGTTTTCATAGAGGTCACATCGCCTGCTTTACGGGGAAGGGAGGGGGGGGACTTGGTTCAAGGACCACTCTGGTCGAAAACGAAACAAAAATAAATGACTGGTATCGCGGCACAAAATATGATCACGGCCGAAATATTATGTCAAAGTGAAGCCGCGTACTCCACTTAAACCGATTTGAAAGATGCGACCAGGTGCTCTTTAGCAGGTGGCAAGCGGGTTGGCTTTTCGTCAAGCAACGCTGGGCGACGCGTACCGCAACACCACTGAGAAGTCAAGTCGCGGACGTACAGCTGATATCAGTGTTGCCACTCCTCTCTCGCAGATAGTTCGCCGGAGACGCCCCGAAACCAAACTTTGAACCGTGATATTTATAAAACCAGACACAATATCGAATAAAAAAAATTATACCTTGTATTTCAGGGACACGGACTGAACTGAAAACAGTCGTAATCCCAAATGGGAAAGTATTGACCGGAGCTGCTTTCTAAACAGGCCTCGGGGATCGATGCACAAGCCTTTAGCCAGCACCCAGATTTAGACTTGCGCTTATCGGGTAAGCAAACCTGACAGCCGTGCATGCTTGTAAACCCGAGACTGGGGCAGAAAAGAGAACAACAGAAGGTAAAAAAAGAAGAGGCAACGTCTCACCTGAGACGTTGCCTCCTCTTTTTTTACCTTCTGCTGTTCTCTTTTCTGCCCCAGTCTCGGGTTTAGAATTATGTTCGACTGACACCAGCTCGCCTGCACTCTGACTATTTTTTTTGACAGCCGTCTCGGACAGTGTCGCCAGACTGTCTTTTGTACAATGTGTTAGCAACCTGACCACGGCTTTCGGAGAATGGGCGCGGGGATCCGCGCCGCCGGCGGAACTCGAGGAGCGCGGGGAACGTATCTGGGTCGCTCAAACTCTCGCGTCGTACCGGCGTGTTTCGTCCCGCGGCCCTTATCGACGACGTTGAGTCGATCGCTCGAGCGGGGCGACTCGTCTCGACTCCCAATGACCAGCTCGTTTTCGAGATACGCGGCTTCCAGGCGACGTTCATGCCAGCCGCTTCCTACGGGGGTGGATTCACGGGACGCCATTTTGTTGGACGTTGTTCACAGCGCATGCTCAAAACTAGCTCCCCTTTTATCGTCTTCCAAGAGCAATGATTCTGATTGTGTGGAATGGATGCTAAACGTGCATCCGCGTGCATTTCTCGCAGGAAGTGAAGTCAAAGCAATGGGTAGCTGTGCGCTCGCGGTACTTGGGCCTCTATACTCGCAAAGCCTAGCAGTTCGACCACGGAGCCATAGAGTGCCCGGTTGCAGATCCGGAGCAAGAGGATCTGGTAGCACAGAGCAGCAAAACGCCATTTCTCGAGAAACCTGGACATCAGCGCAGAGATTTTGCAGCGGTGATGACGTCAAACACACTTGTTCGCTCGGGAGAAGTGTGTTTCGGCACCCCGCCGCAGCGGGGCGCCGGTCACGTGGTTCTCCTCTCATCCGTTGTCTGCCGCTCCACCTTTTTCATTTCGGCGGCCACTTCAAGTGGCTATCTTCCAGGCTTTTTCAGTATATAGGAGGCTATGGCACTGATCAAAGCTGAGCACGCGCGGTGTTCGCTTCTTCTGAAATGCCAGAAAAAGTTATCCTCGAGCATCGTTCTGAGTATGCGTTTTGAACAACGTCCGATAAAATAGCGTCCCGTGACCGAAGGCTCGCGCAAGGACACCACAATGGCCGCTGACGTGACGTCATTACAAACTACGCATAGTGCCTATTCATCACTGATGTCTATTGCAGTTGGCTGGCTCGATGCTTGTCGAGCTGGAGTCGAGTGGCACCACCGGAAACTATCGGTTGAGCTAACGCACGGGAAAAGAGCAATTTTCTGCTTTAGTAGGTTGTTCTCGACGATGAAACTTTTATCGCGCCTTCCGGGTATGACGGTTAATACTCTAGCCGAACATATCAAAAGTGTTAGAAGACCAATTTATTTTTAAATTTATGTTTTATGAATGAGGGTCGAGGGCTGCGACTTTGTTGGCCGTAAACTGCGCTGCGGTTCAATGAGACGAGGGTTGCCAAGGGTCAATCTGGAGTAGTTCGTGATCTCGAAGTCAACAGAGCTTAGCAGACGAAAAGTTAGAATGCATTCACTGGGGGCATTTGCATCGTTTCAAGCGCTCGTACAGAGTACTTGTGGTACAAGCTTTTGCTCTGAACTGCGGTGAGGGCTTCTGTGACGAACTAAAACTCGGAGCGTGTCGTTCATTTCTTGCACGTGTCATTTTTATTTAGTAATTGAAGCGAGCGACGCCGACGCGGTCGGTGGTGCTCCGGCACATTTATTTCTTTTAATAGGCGTTCGAACTTCTTACAAATACCGATTCTATCTCCAAGCACCCGATATAACGATCGCAGCACATAATAAAATACTCGCCTTCGAGCACCATGCAGAAGCCATAGACTTGGGTGTATTGCCTGGTGTCGAGCAATGGCCGACCGTGGTGCCACCGACGGGCTCCCTATCCGCGATCCAGTCTACTACATTAAAGATCAGCGGTAGTTATTGGAGGCAGTGCCGTGATGACAGCGAGCTCCCACAGCGTTCATAACAGCAAAGCTGTGTTTTCTGACAGAAGATGAGGGTCATTACCCACAGTTCGCGCTGATGACCGGACCTGATGACCGGACTCACGGCTTGCACGTTACATCACCGCATCATGCTGGTAATCATTTCTACTCGCTCCTTACCAGAAAAAAAAAAAATTCGGTGGTTCCTGTGTATTGTAGTTCCTTTCAATTGCACCGTTTTAAAGGGGCCATAAAACGATTTTTCTACTTTCGCTAAATACTACTTAGAATCACTCCCCGACGTTAATAACCGAATAAACTTGCCGTAGTTCATTTTTTTTATTTTTTATTTTTTTAAGCGATGGCAATCGGCAAGTAAATTCGAGAAATATGAGCATCGTTCATCCCCTAAATCCGGATCCAGAACAAGCGGCTACGTGGTCTGGTGCTAACCCTAAGCCAAGATCAAAGAAAGGCATCCTGCCGTTCGAGTCTGCTCACTCCAAAATAGCGAAAAGGGGCATTGCTGCCCCTTTTGGCTATTGAACAGGTGTCTGGAGGCGTCCTTAGAAAGATATTGCGAACGTTCCGCGCAAGACAGTATTTTGTAGTTAAGACAGATTTCACTCCTTCAAACGGCAGGTTTCCCAGAAAGCTGCCTGACTGAGGTTGCCGAAGGACTACTAAAACAAATGCGAAGGGGCCAACCAACAGGCGAGAGAAAAACCTAAAATAAAACCGGCAATTATTCCTTACTTGCATACCACGTCTTATAAGTTAAAGGAAGTTGTACAGCGTTTTAAATGTTCTGTTGCATTCTCAACTCCCGATACAATGGTACGTCTGTGCCGCTGAATCAATAGTTCCCAGTCAACTACAGAGCAGTGTCAATAATGCAATTAAATGCAAAGCATTTAATTGCATTATTGGTAGAGCACTCCACTGGAAAATGGAGAGGTCCCTTGTCCCATACCCGGACCAGGCGGATTTCTTCGGTCGCGCACCAGTCACCTATCGGTGTTTAGAGATTTGTGTTTGTCCTTTGTCCCTCTTGTTCCCTTGTTCCTTGTTCAGTGCAACGTAAAACAACAGACCGAATATGCCGAGTGTGTCATGCAAGCGATGTACGAGATACCGTTGATTCGCGGCTCCGTGTACATTGGTCAGACGGGTAGGTGTGTCAGCGACCGAGCACGCGAACATGCGACAGCCACGAAAGCAAGCCCTTCTGGTAATCTCGCCCTCCATTGTAGTCGTTGCCCATGCTCACCACTTCTGCACGATGTTAAGATTCTAGCGAAAGATAAAGAAAAAGCGTGCCGAGAAGTTCACGAGGGGTTTGAGATTAGGGAAAAAGTAAATGAGTGAGTCAGCGAACCCTCGCTCTCAGGAAAAGTTTGATTTTATCGAGGGGTTTCATCGATTGTTG